TTTTTTTTATGCCATTATTATTCTACTTTTATTACTACTTCTCTATAATATAAGGTGAAATTGGGTGTTGTGATGCTTCCAGCATTTCTCTTTTATTTAGAATTGCTTTGGATCTTCTGAGTCTTTTGTTTTTTCCATGTGAATTTTGGATTATTTTTTCTAGTTCTGTGAAAATTGTCATTGGTATTTTGATGGGGATTACACCGAATCTGGAGATTACTTTTGGTAATGTGGCCATTTTAACAATATTAATTCTGCCTATTCAAGAACATGGGAAGTCTTTCTATCTTCTAGTGTGTTCTTCAATTATTTTTCATGTACTTTTTGTTGTTGAGGGCTTTTGACTCCTTGCTTAGATTCTTCTTAGCACCTGATATCATGTATTCATCAGTGTATGGCTAGTCTCCCTCTTGGGAGGCAAGCTTCATCAGGTGAAGGACTTCTGTTTTATTCAATGCAATCAATATATACAGCACATTGCTAAGAGCTCAATAAATGTTGATGTTATATACTTGCAGACTACTTTGGGAAAATAATTTTTCATTTTCAATTACATATTGAATAAATTATTTTAAACCTAAAAGTTAAAGTAATTTCATGAGTTAATACAGTTAGCTACAAATCAATGCTAATAGCTGAAGTATAATTGCTAAACTTCTTTTAACTAAAAAGAATTGCCTTGGGATGCTAAATGTTGTCATTAATAATTTCAAGGGAGCAATTTAAAGTTCTATGATTAAGTCTGAGTATAATAATACACATACATTTCTTTAGTTACATTTTTATTTTCCAATGAGCTACTTAAAGAATATGATAGATTAAGGATTGTGATTATAAGAGATTATTTTGTTTTACTTCCTCTTTATTTTTATTTTTCCTGTGTTAGGAGAATAGTGGGCTGTCATTTCCCAATGGTGAGCACTCTTCAGGGGAACAAAAGGTCTGACCCCTAGCAAGCACAATTAGAGCTGTCCTAGAATTTCCTATCCAATTTATTCATTCCTTGAAGTAGCAAGATGTCAAATGGAGTGTGAATGGGAATGGACACAAAAGGTTGTAGTGGATGCAAAGAAGAGATAGGTGAGAGAGGACTCCCAGAGGATTTTTGTGTGTGTGTGTGCAGAATATTTGGCTCATGCTTTCATAGTGGAACACTTCCTATATAATGGGCTGCTCTGATGAATTTCTGTAATCTTGAGTAACTAGTAAACACGGTGATGTTTACTATAGAAAATTTCTAGTATTAATACCATATAAAGATGGAATAAATTATCATTTAGAAGTAGGTCTGATGTATTTAGACATATTACCTTAGCACAGAAACCTATAAAATCCTTTCAAATAATTTAAGAGATGTTATTTATCTTTTAAAAAATTTTACTCACCAGCGCAGTGGTGCACACTTATAAACCCAGTGGCTCCAGAGGCTGAGATAGGTGCATCGGGAGTTCAAAGCCAGCCTCAGCAAAAGCAAAGGGCTAAGCAATTCAGTCTGTAAATAAAATACAAAAATAAAATACAATTCTGTCTCTAAATAAAATACAAAACAGGGCTGGGATGTGGCTCAGTGGTCAAGTGCCCCTGAGTTCAATCCCCAGTACCAAAAAAACTCCCCCACCACCTCAAAAAAAAAAAAATAAGCAAGATAGAGCTGGGTGCTGTGGCACAATCCCAGCTTCCCAGAAGGCCAACACAGGAGGATGGCAAGTTCCAGGCCAGACTGGGCAACTTAAGGAGTGTCCATCTCAAATAAAAATGAATAAATAAATAAATAAATATAGAGCTGGGGATGCAGATGCGGTAGCTGGGGATGCAAAACCACCACACACACACACACACACACACACACACACACACACACACACACACACCGAGGCACAGATAGAGCAAGCAGGCAGGAGAAACAGGACACACTGGAAAGGAGTGCAAGTCTTGGGGAGCAAAAGGAAGACTGATAGAAAGAGGAGACTGCGAGCCATGAATCTCATGCGTTGAGCCAGACACTGGCAGGTGGTAGAGACCACATTCATCCAGAGCTAAGACACAGCCCCCAGCCCATCCTCGGCCTCCCATGAAAGATGAGCCCCGGTGGAAGTCAGGGGAAGGAATGTGCACTAGGACCCAGCCAGGCTCCTTCCCCAAGACCCCAGGCCCCCTCCCCGTCCAGCACCCCTCCTAGAAGGTTCTCCGGCTCTGGGAAGCCATCTGCGCTGGCTCAGAAGTGGCGGAGGGAGGGGGAATTAAAACCACGAAAGGAAGGATCAGAGAGAGTCTTTCTCCCCCTCAAGAGCCACTTTAGGAGATGAAGAAAGCCAGGCGAGTTTTAATCATCACAAATTGTTTAAACCTCTGATTCCATCTCCTCTGAAGCCCCGGCAGCCTCCCCTGCGCCCCGACTGATGCTCTCCAGTGGTCCGAGCTCAGCCCAGCCAGGAACCCACCTTTGCCCCCCTCCCCACTTCCTGGACCCCTCTGCCTGTCCTCCCAGGTTCCCTGTGAGGCCAGGCCAGCAGGACCCTGCTTATCTAAGGAGATCTGACAAGACTGCAGCCCTCGGGGGTCTGGCCACTGGCAAAACATATGGTGCATCGTAAATAGGACTTCCTTTTAGGAAATGAGCCGCTGTAATTAAATCCCCATTCATTTTTTGTAACATACACACAGAGACAAATAGATCTTTATCCTTCAGAGGCATAGAAGAGGGAACTGAGATTCGCTGGTGTGACTCCTATTTATAGAACACTTCCTAGAACCAGGTGGAATGAGAACTCCAGATTCTTCAGGCCAGTGCCCAGCCCAAGTGGGTGACAGGGGCTCCCTTCCTTCCTCCAGGAGAAAAGAAGGAGCATTCTGAAGTGGAAGAATGCATTGGCCTTGAATTTGGGCCAAGGAATCCATGGCTTCTTCCCATCCCACAGTCCTGCAGCAGAGCACCCCAGGGAGTAGAGAAGGAATTAGGTGGATTGTCATTGAATGTAACTGGATCCCACCCAAAGGGGCCCCAGCCGTGAGCCGTGCACTGGGCGGGGCACCACAGAGGGACCCTGGAACCCATGGAGACTGGAGGACACTTGGCAGGCGGGGTGCTGACCTGTGCCCCAGGCTCAGCACCACAAGGACAGAGTGTGGGGACACATGGAGCTAACAGCACTGCAGCCTTGAGGGAAGGATTTTCTCACCAGAATGGAGAGAGATCATCCCAGGAGAAGGCAAGGCTCGGAGCAGGGAAGGACAGGGTCCAGAGGTCCGTCCAGGTCAGTCACGGAGACAGAAAAACAAGAATGGGGGCCTCTCTCCCAACTTTGGGAACCAGCAAGACACAACTGGATTTCCTCGGAAATGACATTTTTCTTTCATGAAGTCATCAAACATCTGCTGTCTTATACACACTGGATGAAAACAAAACACCACCACACCTTAGGTAGGACAGCTTCTCCAAATGAACAGGTGTGGCAGTCAGGAAGCAAGTGCAAGGGCCCCGGGGTCCAGGGGTGGCCTACAGTCACACCCAGCCCTCAGCATGGCAAATACCGGGGGCCCTTCCCTCCTCTGCTTGATATCATGGAAGCCACAAAGCATCTTTGAGATCCCACAAAATTCAAAGTCCACAGGGCCTGGCTGTCAGCGAGGCTTTGGGCTGGTTGACCCCAAGAAGGTGAAATCCCAGATACCAACACTCACTCCAAGGTAGAAAGTGTGAAGGGACATCTAGAAAGGACACAGGGTGTTCTAGAGGAAGAGGCCCCATGGTGATGGGCAGACAAGGATCCTCTAGCTGTGTAACTCTTAGCAAAAGACTTGACCTCTCTGTGCTCCTGTTTTCTGTCTCTAAAACCAGGATAACACAACCCTCCCTCAGGTGCCTAAACCCTAGGCGCTTGAGACAGCGTGGCGCACGGTGCGGCGCGCACAAAAAGGACCATAAGGGCCCGTGTCATTTTGCTATTGGATGAAGGTGACAGTCGACCTACAGAGGC